TATATATATTGTGTTTCTATGTATACACACACATGCACACATACACACACGCAAAGCAGGTGCAAATCGCTTGTTCTCTGACGCACAAACAGTCGTAGTCCTATTTGCGGTGAAATTGCGTTCTGGTCCTTCAAAAACCAATACTTGCCGTCACACTATGAGTATGCTTAGGAAAATAATAAAGATGCTTCTGATATGCATAGGAAGCTATTGACGAACGTCATATGATGTGTCGACGTAGTAAATAAGTACAGTTTACTACTATACAATATATCGTCTTGCCATTTGAAGACACAGAGTTATTGCAGTGTTGTACATATCGCTGACTATAGAAATGGCATATATATTGTATTTTCATATTTTAAAATACATCAAATGAATACTGTCAAAACTCAAAAATATATGTAATACTGACATCGACAAAATTACAAATTTAGAAATGCCATAGATAGTTAATCAACCTCATCGTTCTTGTTTAAATGCACATTGCAGTTTGCACCGTCAACAAAAATAAAGATACGAATGCATGGATAAACCATACCGCTACTATAATCCTAGAGTATAGATATAGAAACATATAACCCATAAGATCCCACAATCTTGTTCTTTGCTAACCATGTCGTCGAGTAAACCCTTCACACCTACGACTAAAGAGGAGCTTTCGGCTTATGTGCGCTCGATGAAGAAGTCTTTCGTAGACGCATGCGAACAAGAGGTAGGGACGCTCAGGATGACAAGCAGGGACACTGAGGATGGCATCTCACCTGCATGTTTGTGATGTTTGTTAACAGTCGTTCATATTTTTATGCATATACAGATCATAGTCATAATCAGGCGGGCATTTCAGTTGCATATTGCGTGGTGTCAGCCGTTGTGCCTTTTTGCGTACTAATACACTAGGCACGTATATCTAACTTCCGCAATACTATAAGCTAGTTATCTATCGTGTTCAAGTATGTCGATTCAAATTACCAAAGGACGACTTCGTGTTTGTAATATGTATGTCGTTTTTGTACATGAGTGCTTGTGTTTCATACGATGGAGTTCACTATCGTTCTTCGGGTACTTGCGTATCTGGTTCTGTAGCAGGGTAGTCCTAGGGTATTGTACACATATGGCCTACATGCATACTCCGCCTGACCATAATATCAAATCTCAGTGCCATGCTTAACGGCTCTTTCATCAACAACCAACCGTACAATTCGAATCCTTCCGGAAGTATCTCACTATACAACTACGACCAACGACTTATGAATACGCTTAAAGGCTTCGCACTATTAGCAGAAGCTTTCTCACTCAACTAGCACAAGTGCGCGACCGAACCGTCTCTTTCATTGTTGACGTGACATCTAGAACAGTACAATCTGCGTACCCCTTATACGTTTGCAAGCACATGTTGGGGGTGAGTCTTATTCGCGTATGCACCGTCAGTCAGGTTACACAAGCTTAAGGATCTACGTAGCACGGCCGATCTATGAACATCATTCGTCCCCATCACCGTGCTTGATTTTCATTCAATGAAGTTAAATCCTCCGCTAGTGAATGGCCACTATGCTGGGTGTGGTTTTCACGCTACAAGTTAGTTAATACACATACACCGCCATTGTTCTCGTCTGGCAGGGAGATGCGAACAGTTGCCACAGCCTGGCTGAATTTCTCGAGGGAATGGAAAAGGTGAGTTGTGGTCAAGTGTTCACCTGCGGCTCGTACACACCTGCATAGTCGTCATTAGTATGTTTGATGCGCGTAGGGTCTATCCAACGTACTACTCCATCTCAGGATATCTAAAAGTATCGTCACGGGGTGTTTGGGGTTGTCTGACTGTAGAGCAGAGTTTAGGATCGGGGTGGCGAATTCAGCCGCCTCCTCGTCTATGTGCATACTGAAATTGCTTGTGCCTGCTGGAGTCTGTGCCATGGTATAGTATCTGCCTTACCCTTTCTGCTCGCATTGTACAGATCATTCTTACCCAAGTACAGTCCCCAAGTACAGTCGTACGCGGCTATGTTCACGGTTGCTTTCAGCTAGCATTGATTTTGTTATCCTGTCGTAGAGGCGTGTGTGACGGCACCTTCCTTTCCCATGGACGCTATTTGGCCACTTATTCGCATGCAAGTGTGTACAATCCAGCATAGGCACGCCACCCCACGTTTATTGGACATCGGCTTGTTAACGAGCTTGTAGAAATATATTTGTATTGCAAATGGTCACACGCATGCGTGCTTTCGAGGTATTTATGATTTTGTCTACGCCCACTCCAAAGAAATTCATGCGGTCAAAATGATTCAAAATCCCATTTTTCTTTGTGTTGTGTAGTTCTGGAGTCTTTCTTGCGATACCCAGGAGTTTCAATGAACGCATGCCGAATCATACGAGTGTAATAGCACTCACACATTTGTTCATGTTTTATCCGTCATAGAACTATACCGAGGCTATGCAACAGTACAAGCAGAATTGTGAGAAGAACAAGCACGCTGGCAGTTGTTTGGGTGCCGGTTTGCTCGCCTATCAGGGCGTGGGGGGTCCAAAAGATGTCGCAGAGGGGTATGTATGCAACTATTGCTCAATCATGTCTAAATACACCCGTGTATCAGTTTTGTGTAGATAATTCAATTATGTCAGTAACCCAAATAGACGTGTACGTGTTTGGTTTGTATGCTGAGAGATAGGACCTGTACGCGAAGTCGAGTCGCTTGCATATTCGTGTGTCGGCAGAATTGATAATTTTAGGGAGATTTGTGTATATTTTAATCACAATATACCTATTTTGAATATGTTTACGCATGTTGCATAAAT